GATCACAGTGCCCAAGGTCAAATGTGGGGTGAACTGCAGCCTGGACATGCGGCTTACCTGCCCCGATGGCTAAGTTATTCAGGCTTAGACCGCAGCTATGGCAGACTGCCCATGACCACCACTTGGAAGGGCTGAATGGGCCAGATGAGCATTTGTACTTCAATCTCTCCTGCTATTGCTTGCGCCCAGCTTTTGGTTTTATAAAGAGAGAAATCCAACAAACACAGAGGTTGCTGATTGCCCTTAGTACCTGGGCTGGGTCTTGGCTTGCTACGTTTTGCATTAACAGTATTTGCCGTGTGGTCAATTAATTAACTACAGTTAAATGTCTATAATGTCACTTTCAAGTTTTATTAGCATTTGTTGTTTCTAAAGATGCGTGGGACATATGTTCCAAGGCCCCAGCAGATGCTCAGAACCACAGACTGTACCAAATGCTGCAGATATACTGTTTCTTCCTAGATGATAAAGTTGAATTTATAAACTTGATGCAGTAAGAGATTAACCACAATGAGTAGTAACACAACAGAGCCGTAACATGTACTCTAGTGCAGGTGTGTGGGTACCGTCTGTCCCATAATGTCTGTCTGTCTGTCCCGCCCTTCTTGTGATGACACAGATGACACAGTGCCTGCGTGGTGGGGTGGACAGAGGGAATGACAAAAGGTGATGTGAGCCAATCTGAGAAGCAAGATGGCTACGTGCCTGCAGTCAGGAGTGTGTGCAGCGGGCACACCGGACAGAGGGGACTCGTGTCCCGGGTGGGACAGCACCAGCTTCCATCACGCTACTCAGAATGGCACACGGTTGAAAACTTATGAATTGCTTGTTTCTGGAATTTTCCACGCAACATTTTTGGGCTGTGCTTGACTGCGGATCACTGAGGCCAGAGGAAAGCAAAAGCGACAAATGGGGACCAACTGTACAAGTCCAGTGAGCTGCAGCTCCGGCTGCACCCAACCACCACCTCCTCTCACATTCGTGTACCACTGTGTAAAGCTGGACGATGTGTTACAGCATCTCAATCCGAAAAGCACTAACCCTAAAGAGCACTCATTGTTTTATGGGCCAGAGACTTAGCTCAGTGGTTCTGCTGGCTGCCTTGCAAGCGCAAGGTCCCGAGTTCAATCCCAGTACAAAAAAAAAATACTCGTTTTGGTACGGCAGGTACCCACATTAGCCTCCTTTCTGCCTTTAGGGACAGCCAGGCAGTGAGATACGTGGGACACCGCACTGACCATGTCTTGTTTTCTGTACCCCGATGCTGTGACATCTTGGGGCCTTGTGGTTCACATGGCTCACCCCTCTGCTCTAAGGTGGCTAAGATGGGGCACCTGACATTCTGCGTAGGGAGGACGACTTCCCAGCCTCTTTATCTCCATTTCCCACTGTCTTGCCAAGACCCAGGACCATGTGTGTCTAGCCGTCAGGACACAGGCCACTCACATCAATTAAATGCTTGACTTCGTGCTTCTTGAGGTCACTTCCGATCTTGGCCGCTAACAGCATACATGCTCCAGCACACAGCTTCCGGTTCTGCTTGTTCAGCTTCCCCTTGAGGGCGAGCTTCTCAAAGTAGACAAAGGCCATGGCCACTGTGGGCTCCTCGAAGCCACAGTCCTCCTGGGCCAGCTTCCGCATCTCTCGTTTCAGGCTAGAGAGAGACAGGCAGCAGTCAAGAGTTTCAGGGGACCCTAAAAACAATGATTCCATCTAGAAAGCCTCTTCTTTCCTTCATTCCCAGGTGACAAGGGTTAAGAGTAAATCCCTGTAAGTGTCAAAAATCTAGAACCTCCGTTGCTCTGGCTGCACAGGTATCTTTACTCTCATTCTTGCTCCAGACCCAGTGGTGCAGGGCTGCCCAAATGACCACATCCAGGGCGATGGCAAACCAGGCAGCAGGAGGGACTGTTGAACATCACATGGGACCTGCAAGGACCCCGCTGTACACACGGGTGCCTCAGTCTCCCCTGGACACTTGGCTTGGGGTTGTCCAAAGTCAAAGTGGGATACCACGTGGGCACTCCGCTCATTCCCGAGACCACTCGAGAAATAAATCGGGTGTTCGGTCTGAACTGTGGCAGACACCAGCTGTGTTAACTGTGGCAGAAAAGGTCCACCACCTAAGCATGATCACTGGCAGCCACCAAGCAAATGGCAAGTGTGAACATTCAACTTTTCCTAAAAACTGATATTTTTTTCCTGATGCTGTGGCCTGGAACATGCCAGAATCAAATCTGTATTAGAGAACACGCTGGCCCAATGCTGGCACATATTCCAACGTCACGTGAGTATACAGCCTGACTCCTCCTCCTCCTCCTACCACACACCCATTCTGCTGACATGACGGTGTCACAGACACAATACAAGGTCCTCTCTGGCCAGGTGAGGTCGGTCATCTGGACTATGTGGCCAGCAGATGTGGGGCCACAAAGCCAATCCTATCAGCGGTGTGGAAACAGGGTTTGTCTCTGGTTGTTTTGGTAACTGCTTAAAGACAGGGGTCCCCTGTCCCCCAGGGCAGGTGACTGTGGTGCCGACTGTCTTCTGCTCTGCCTGCAAGAGAGAAAGCAGACCTGTGTGGGGTCTACTCTCTGGGTTTCTGTAACATAAATCTTACCGAACTTGGGAGCTATGTGCAGGCAACATGAAATGATCTCTTGTACAAAGAAGGAGCCTCAAGTGGCTCAGAAGGGACTGCAAGGATAGAGTTCAAGGTGACAGGAGCCACTCCTACCTCCTTATTTTGCTGAGTGTTAACTTAATGTGAGGAAACTTCTCCTTGAAAGTCTCATTCATGTCCTTCTTGAGATCCGATGGCTTCACATAGTCGATGACTGTGGTCTGTAACAGAGGGATGAGACAGGCCACTCTGTAAATAGGGGTGTGGCCACTAACAAGGCCCAAGAGGTGTCCAGCTCACAACTTCCCAAACAAGGCACGACATGGAAATCAGATTAGAGCCACAGCAAGGGCTCTGCTGAATCCGGAGCCTGAGGGAGCTATAGCCTTCCAGAAATACAGGGAAAAGAAATCACCACTGTTAGCAGGAGGAGGCAACACTCAGAAAAACTGACCTGTGGACCTCAGGAGAGAGGGAGGGAAGCCCTCTCAGTCGCTGAGTTCCCAGCTGTTCTCGTACACAGTGCAGTGCTCAAGGTGTGGAAATGGGACTTGCATGGATCTGGGTTCAGCCCACACCTAGCTGCCTGGTGCCACAGTTGCTCTGAAAGCGGCCAGATGTGCTCTGTACAGTCCCTGTCAGCAAGCGTTCAATAACACGGGCTACTGTCACGGGCCTGCGTCTTGATGCAGGGGTGGCAGGCTCTGCAGGGGACTGGGGGGCCATCCCATCGGCCATCCCAGGGATTGTCTAAGCCATTTATTACCCACTCTGTAATAAGCCCCCTTCTTCTTAAACCAGCTTGGGTGCAGAGTGCATGCTGGGCTCTGTACCCTAACTGTAACTGATTGTTGATAGCCTTTGCTTCCTCTGTAACTGGCCCTCAGTGGTGCTGTGCCCTCCTGGTAAACTCATGTCCTGAGTTTGATCCCCAGTACTAGAAAAAACAAAAAACAAAAACTTAATCTAGGGCTGAGGATTTAGCTCAGTGGCACCATACCTGCCACATAACAAGGTCCTAAGTTCAGGCCCTGGTACCAGAAAAAAAAAAAAAAAAAA